ACGCCTCTAGCGGCTGTCAATGAGACAGCCACTAGAGGCTTTACAGGCTGGATTAACCTATTTATAAACATAGCAGTTTCTCTGAAACTGTCTATAAAAAAATGGGTTAACCCTAGCTGGACCAAGCATCCAGACCACTTCATTTAAGCTGAAGTGGTCTGGGTGCCTAGAGTGAACCTGGTTTGTAAACTTTAACTATGTTTCTCACCTGCTTCCCCAAATACACTGAATACATCATAGATGATGTATTCAGTGAAAAATATTGTGATTTACTCACTTTAACTCTTTACAGCGCCGCTGTCTTAGCCTGCATTTGTGTTAATATTCATCTAATTTTGCTCAGTCTGCTGACTCCTATTTGTATTCTCATCAATATCCGTATCAGCCAATAAAGATACCGATATTGCAGATAATGCAGACCAGGGCCGCCATCAGGGCGGCAAACAGTTCGCGAGAGTTAAACAATCTGCGTTCACTACACACACTCTCTGGATTCTGACTGGCATGTATATTTTGGGCATTTACCTTGTTCAGTTAACAGTAGATTTGTGTAGAAAGGTTATTTTAAAAAAATGGTAACTTACCGATACTCTGTACACTTATCGGCTATCTGCCTGAAAGTTCAGATTATCGGTATCGGCTCTGAAAAATCAATATCTGTCTATCCCTACTTGATGCCCACAATAATGAAAATAATTACTGAACATCCTATGAAAGCAGTGTCCCTTTGTTTGTCAATAAAGTGAGCAAAGCAATATGTTAACTGCTGCAGTGGTCTTTGGCAAAGAACCGTTGCAATGGTCGGCACATTGCTTTGTTCACTTTTGGCATTTAAAGGGACACCTCTTTAATATTAGCCAAATTTTCTTTATCCTGAATATACATGCTGGTTTTGGAAAAGTCTGGTTCTTTGCACCCCATCTGCTGGTAGGTTCTGTTCTCAAGATTTTGTATTTAGATCCTCTGCTGACATGCTGCCTTCATTTGCTAGTATTTTTCTGACACATGGTGGCAGTACGTATGGGTTGTGCTTCCTAATTGGGACAAGCATCTGCAAGATAGGTGATTAAGAAAAGTCCCTCCCCTTTACCCTATAAAGGGCTTCCCCAGCAAACCCACCCCAGTTCTTCCTTGTCCCAGCACGGGATGGATCAAGCATCTGTTGAAGGTGAGTCACACGGGTTGCTGTCTGGGGGAGGAAGCCTGATAGCCGCCCGGATGGTAGGTTGAGCGGCATGGCTCTGTCCGTGGAGGATCCGGAGGCCTTTCTATTTAATTTTGTGCCGAGTATCTTCCGGCTTGTTGAGTATGGGCTGGCCAAGGAACGCCTACATTATATTGCAGGCCGTGCGTCTGTGCACAGCGGTGGAAAGCACGCCTGGGTGGTGTTGCGTTCCACTGAAATTTCGGGTGTGTTATTGCACAAACGCAAATAATTGAAAAATTGTATCTGTGCTACTCCCATTAATATAGTTCTTGGGTTTATAAATATGACCAAGGTGCTGCAATTTCTTGGGTAAACTTGGGCAGAGACTATACAATCTTTGAATTCTTATAGAGAATCAAATAGTGTATCAGCTGCTCTGCTTGAGATGTTCTGTAGAGACCGAAGAGAATCATCCTTCGATTACTTCTGTCTGGCGAATGTTTATCTAACTCTTAAGACATGTCTGGTTCATAATCCTGTGTGTAGTTGGTTCCCACCTGATGTACTGAGAAAGTTAATTAGGAATGAATCGGTCATGTGGCAGGATAAATCTGCTAAACTTTAATGAGGGTTATATTTTCCTCAAACCCCAGCTCTGTCTTATATGCAGAAATGGGAACACTCTGTGTGATGAGCCTTTCTTGCCCGACGTTTAATATGTTTACCATCAAATGTGTAAATGTGAAACCCCCAGGTACACTGGAAATCCATAAAATTCTGTAGAAGTAGATGCTTTTAAAATTAAAACAGTCGTCGAGAAGACTTCTTGCAGACGATCTTTCCAGACTGCTGGGTTTCGGTATGGGTCTTTGCTGGCAGGTGCAGCGGTGTCCAAAACTATAACTTTGTTTATAATCGTTAATGGGGGTTATTTGAGGCTCCTGATGAGCAGCTAGTCATTTTTCTGTTTTATTTGTTAGTGTCATATACTTTATATGGATTTGACTAATTAATAAAATTTGACAGTGACGGCCAAGATCATGGGTTATCTGCTGGTGGCTTAAGCTCGGACAGCAGATAAGTGTCCTTTTCGGTCCCCTGTTTACTCCAGTTAGGAAAAGGGGCATCTTTGATAACCTTTTGTTGAAAAAGGAAAAAAGCTCTGCCTCAGGCAAGTAGAACTAGGTCCGATATTGGTAGGTGTTTTGGACGCCAAGAAGCTTGGCGGCGTAATCCTGCATTTCTATACGAAGTGTGGATAGCTCAGTGGGTTTAGACCTTGTTCAACTCTTGGTGTTCACAGGTTTATTTACCCTGCAGGGTTGGCTCAGCCCTTTATCCCGTTTGAGGTAGATGACTGGAGTACCATTCAATGGAGTCACTTAACATTCTCAGGATGTATTTGGGAACCAGCATTTATCTTAATGTCTCTTGCCTGGCTTTTAAGTGGAACCTACTTGCAATCACTGATTGCTTGATCTAGTTAAAGAGGGCACCGCTTGCTCTTTTCAAATCTGCCCAATCCATAATCTTCCAAACATCTGATACTCTATTTACTGAAACAGTGTTCGTGTTGGATTTGAGGAGTTTGAGATATGGCTCTGTGAACCATGAAATTGGTTGGGTTCCTCAGGAATCTCCTGGTTATCAAACTCTGATCACTCCTTTAAACCGGTTATAAATTTAAATTAATTGGTTCCTCTCCTGAGCTTCAGAATTGAAACTTCTGCTTTTGTAACTGATTCTGCAGAAAGGAATTTCATGGTGTATATAGATCAGAGCTATATTCCCACATATCCCTATTTCGGCCCCTCAAGAAGTTTTCTGAAAACACGCCATAATACGTGGATTGTAGAGATTTCATTGCTCTTCAAAACGCTCCCATAACAGCATATTTTAGAGAAACAAGGCATTCCCTACTTGGGAGTTTGGCTACTTATTGCTAATCGGGTTAGTGTTAACCGTAAAACGTTTCCTCTGCATCTGCTTTCATAAAGGAAAGGTCCAATTACCAATTAAGCGAAAATTCCTCCATAAGGACAGAAAATTAGATTGCTGGGATGTAAGTCAAGTCCTGCGGTCAACTGGGCAAAATCTAGATTTGTCCGCTACAGTGGAAAATTCTCCCCTCTGGTTCAAAGTGTGGAAATCTTGTATTTCTGTCTCCTAGACTCTTTGAAAAAAGCGGAAGCGGTCCTTTTTGTCTATAGAAGGAGTAATTTTCATCACAGGCTGAGTCGCTCGTCTAAATTCTCTAATGTGCCAGCGTTCTTGGTGGAAGAAGAGGTGGTATGGGTATTTTCAATAACAAAACAAACCAAAAAATAGAACTAATTCGAGTTATGGAGAGGAGAAGATTAAATCTGTTGCCAGCTTGCAAGCTCACCATACTTTAAAATATGCACAGAATTGACCTTAGGCAGCCTACAGAGTTGTGAGCTTCCTTGGTCACGTGTGGAGTTGCCATTAGCCCTGTGTCACACAATAAAATATAATACTCAATGTACATGGTTTCAGTCTAAAACACTGCACATCCCAACTTATACCACTATGACCACTTCAAAAAGAATAAGTGGTCATAGGCATTGGAGTAAACTAAAGATCTCATTGTTCAATGAAATGTTACAAATTTACAAAAAGTAGTTAAAGGGACTCTGGACGCATAAATACTTTAGCTTGCGGAAAGGCTTTCTGTGAATTGTTTCAGAGGAACTAAAATAGAGGCAGGCAGTTGCTATAGGCACCTGCAAAAACTTCCCATTTTACTGTATTAGGAAGTCTGGGACTCGACAGCCACTGAACACCTTGGCTGGGTTAGAAGAGGTCGTCCAAAGGCAGCAAACAAGGGAACTGCACTTTCTGCAAGTATTTTTTTTTAGATACCACAATAAAAAAATGCATAATTTTATAATTTCAGTGGAGTGTCTCTTTAAAGGAACACTGGTGCATCAGGAACATTTGCATTAATGCATATATGGATTTATAAATCTTAAATTAGTGGGGGGCCACTTTAAAAGGTTTAGTAAGTCACATCTTATCCAGCAGTTTCCCAGTCTTTCTATGGTTGCTGCTCTGCTTTCTTCTAGATAGATGATCCTGGGCCAGTCAAGGCATTGAAGGCTCTGTGCTCCAATTGGGTTCTTATAGGAGCATTATAATATATTTCCATGGCTGGATTGTCATGCTAAACCTTTACTCATGACCAACAGCCACTAGAGGCTTAAATTGGTCAGAGTGCAGGGAGAGCATCTAGTTGGCAAGACAACCACATTATACTGTACTGGTTTTGGCGCCTAGTGTCCTTTTTTTTTAATTTTTTTTATTTTTTATTTTCTTAAATAGAAATAAGACTTGTTTTGGTGATAGGCTATCCGGAATGGCCCATAATTTGCTTTGTTAAAAATGTCTATGCATTTTTTACATGACTTGATGTTGCCGGGCATCTTCTGCTTGTCCAGTGGAAAAAAGCTTTAATATCCAACCTAGATGGGCATACTGGCTCCCTGTTCTCTTAGCTCACCACTGCCATCCAGGTTAGACACGCTTTATAATGTACACATGTAATAACTGCAGTATTAGTGAGGTTGAAAAGAATGGTGGGCTGCAGATTTGTGACCGCTGGGTTTTATCAAACCGCCTAGACTATTTAACCAGAGGCCCATAAGCTTAGAGGACCTCTTTAAGAAAGAATGTTCTTAAAGGCACACAGCCCTGTACCATATCCACTCCAGCCAACTGTAGTGGTTATGGTTTGAGGAGTACCCTGGCATTGCCCTAGTGTAACTTCTTAACATTTTTTGACAACTTACCTGGGTCCCCTGGGAGTCTGTGCTGCATATGGTCTACCCCTGAAAGAGAAGCTAGGTGGATCCAGTCATCTAAGCATAGCAAATAAGTAGGTTAATAATGTCCACTACTATGTAGTAAGTGTAAGCTGATAGATGCACCAAAGAGTTTTTGTATTATACACTGCACAGTGAGGCTAATGTATAACAACTTATATGAACTGACCGTTTTGTGCATTTGTGTGTGTTCAAGTGAACAGTTCTATATTTCACTTGAAGTGCATTCATTTAAATATTTTGATATTAAGCATTATGTATCTATGTGTATTTTAGAATCATGAAAATATTTTTCTTGTTCCACAGGTAACTGAATTGAATGAGCCACTTTCGAATGAAGAGAGGAATTTATTGTCTGTTGCCTATAAGAATGTTGTTGGTGCACGTCGTTCTTCTTGGAGGGTGATTAGCAGCATTGAGCAGAAGACCTCTGCTGATGGCAATGAAAAAAAGATAGAAATGGTAAGGGCTTACCGTGAAAAAATTGAAAAAGAGCTGGAAGCTGTTTGTCAAGATGTTCTAAGCCTTTTAGATAACTTCCTTATCAAGAATTGCAGTGAAACACAGTATGAAAGCAAAGTTTTCTACTTGAAGATGAAAGGAGACTATTACAGATACCTAGCAGAGGTAGCCACTGGTGAGAAGAGAGCAACAGTTGTTGAATCTTCAGAGAAAGCTTATAGTGAAGCTCATGAGATAAGCAAAGAGCATATGCAGCCAACTCATCCCATCAGGCTGGGTCTGGCTCTTAACTATTCTGTGTTCTACTATGAGATCCAAAATGCTCCTGAGCAGGCTTGCCACCTGGCCAAAACTGCTTTTGATGATGCCATTGCAGAGCTGGATACCCTGAATGAGGACTCCTACAAAGACTCAACCCTCATCATGCAACTTCTGCGTGACAACCTAACGCTGTGGACAAGTGATCAACAGGATGATGATGGTGGAGAAGGCAACAATTAAGACTTTAGTGGACTGGCAGCCGCACGCTGATGCTACTACCGCAGTCTTTATTTTTTTTTCCCACAAGTGGGGGGTTGAGGGTGGGGGAGGGTAAGGAAGGGACAACCTCCCCAGGGAAGACCCTACCACCTGTCTTTGATTGCCTCTTAGACATTTTGCCAAAACACCACGAGTGGAAGTTAGACTGGCTGTGCTGGTATTGGAATGGCAGCCTCACACTGGCACATGGACTGTTCTGTAGTTAATACAAGTGGAGCTGTTTAAATTTTTAAGTTATCGCTAGAATATTTAGAAAGAATTTTATGAGTAGGAATAACTTGAACGGAATGGCTTTTTGTTTAATAGTTTTGTGGTTCCAGTAATTTATTTTATATTTATTTGTTGGCTATATGCACGTCTTGCCCTACATGCCATCATGCTATCATATTTATATAATATGTTGCTGTTGTGGGCTTTCTGCACTCTGCCTTTTTTGCATCCGTTTCTTCATTGAAAGAAAAGTATTAAGGTTAGGTATTTTACTATTTAAATGGTACAGTTTTTCTCACTAATATTCACATTCTATACAGCTTTCTCTAACCCTTGTTTAAAGTGTTTGTGTATGCGTGGATACATATATTAATGTGCATACACCAGAAAAGGGTAAAACTTGAATTTAGAGTGTAATGTTGGAATATTTTTCCATTACATTTTATGGCTGTTCTTCGAATTCTCAAGTCTTGTTGCAATCTAATATGATTAACTGCCAGATGAGTACAAAACACACATTAATGCTGTTAATTTTATGACTTCTTACTACTTTACACAGAGCTTGTCAAGGTTATTTGGGTTTAAATATGTATATTTTTTTTTTTTAAACAAAGATTACCTTTTGGGTTATTATAATAACTTGCCCAAATATTTATCATAAGATTTGTACGATTGTGCTCAGTGTAATTTTAATAATGCTCCCATGAATTCATTGACATTAGTGAGACAGTGTCACCTAGTAACAGAATCTGTAGATATGAAAACTAATTAAATCATATCTACATCCCAAAAGAAAGGATTGCTATATCATTGCTTAAAAATATATTTTCACATTTGTGTGCAGCTGTGAAATTAATTTAAATTGCTATCTCCATTCAAAAAAGAAAAATCCTGCTTTACACATTATCCTGATACTTATTTACAACCCAGTTTTCTAAACGTTCTAGTTTAGAAATTCTTTAACAAATAGGTGTTTTTGTTTTTTTTGGTTTTGTTTGTTTTTTCTCCCCCCCCCTCCTGAGCCATAGGTGACTACAGGCCATTTTAAGGAAGACTTCTGCTAATTAAATTTGAGTTCGTTTTTAAATGTATTTCTAGTTTATTGTAACAATTATGCAGACTCATCCATATATTTTAATTTTGAATATAATTGTTAACATATAATGGCAGTTTCTGCAAAACTAAATTCATCATTCTAGAAGTTATGTTCCGCTTTCCTTATCCAATAATCACTGTTGTATTCACGTGTCCAGTTTAGAAGTAATTTACTGGAATTACATGAGCTATTTTATTGGCTGCTGGAAACCTTTAAGATATTTTAAGAGGACTCCAAATGCTAGGATTGAGAAATGGGTTCTAAGCAGCTTTTTTTTTTTTTTTTTTTTTTCTCTCAATATAAATATTGTTTTTAATTGCACTTGCATATATAACAGTTTTTTTCAATGAAATGACTACCGCTGCTTTAATCAATACAATATTGTGCATGCTAGTGTTGTATTTCTATAATGTAGCTTGAAATTAAATTATACAGTAGATGTTATGTATGCCTATGGCAAGCCAATTAGTCTTCAATTATATTGCCTTTATTTTAAAAAAAGCAAAAACAGATTTCTCCATTGGAAAGAGAAGAATGGGGTTGACCTTGTTTCTACCAGGTTGTAATAGTTGATTGGTATGCTATGGATGTTGCTGTTGTGACATGCAAATATATCATTTTGCTCTTCAAACAAAAAATAAAAATAAAAAAAATGGGGGGAAAACTGATTTTTTTTTTTTTAAATGGGAGGTGGGGGGGAGTTAGGCAGGTTAAAGTTGGGAGGGGAAGTAAACACCAGTTTTAGCCTAACCTCAATGTCTGGTGTTAGTCATGGTGAAATTCTAATTAATGTTTAGGAAAAGTACTGTTTTGAATAAGCCTATGTTTGTGCTTCTTTGTCATAGTAATGCAGTGAATTATTTAAGGTCTGATCAGTGGATTTATTTTATTCTGTTAATTTAAAAAAAATCAAAAAAAAATCAGGGTTTTATTGTTTTTTTTTGTTTGTTTTTTTTTTTCTCCGTGTTTCAGTACACATTTATTTAGTACACGGACAATTTTTAGCAGTTTTTCCTCAGTGATGGAATATCATGAATGTGATTCATTATGTAACTGTCGCACATTGAGCAAATAAACTTACAGATCTGATGTGGGTGCTGCTTATGAGCGTTTGTCTGGTCTTTAAACATTAGGTCAGTTCACAAATTCTATTAAATTGAACCAAGGTTGTAGTGCAAACAAGTGTCTATCACAACATTTTCTGTCACTTCAGTCCTATGGCTGTGCATTTGTTTCATTTTATTAGTCAAGTTCAGTCATCTGTAAACACGGTTCATGACATTTTCAGGTTATGTTAGAGGCTCTTTGAAAAACAAGGATCTTGGCAAAACTGCGTGTTTAAACTTCAAGAATGAAAGGTTTCAACCCCTCAATCTAAAACTGATTTTTATGTAGATAATTATTTTATTGGCATTCATTTAGTACCAACAAATTATATATTGTGCATGTTATCTTTGCCGGCATAGTTCAATTAATTTGTGTTAATGGAATTAATTTACCAAAAGTGTATCTATTGCACGAATATAAAGCCTTACGCTACTTAACTAATCCATATTTCTGAATAACCTTTTGGACTAAAAGGTATCTTGGCTATTCCTCAAAAAAATTGTATTAAATGAAATCAGAATTATCCATCCTGTAGCTAGTTTAGCTCTGCACATGCCATACTATTGTTAACACGAGTTTGGGAAGTGACACTTGTATGCCAGGTTTCTAAATGTGTAAGGTTTTTTTTTTTGTTTTTTTTTATAATATATAATTAACACTTTGGGACAGAATTTGCCATCTCCTAGGTGGTTGAGCTAGTTTTCAGTTCAAGTTGTGTGTGGTGTTCATGCAGCATATGCATAAGCTGGACAACCTTGATATGAAGCAGCCAGCACTGAACATTCTGACGACTTTTTTGAGGAGCTAAAAAAATAAATAAAAGTCGCTGGTTTCTTAATCTGTCCAGTATTGCCATTTATATAGCGTCAACCTATTCCACAGATGGGTTTTTGAAGTAGGCAGATCTATATCTTAAGTTGTCATGCCTAGGATCTCTTACTGGTGAGCTGGTCTGACTGGAATTTGAACCTGGGTTTCCCAGTTCTAAATTAGTGGCCTTATGACTGCTATAAAAAGCAAATTATCTAAACAAAAACAAAGGGCATTGAAAAGGGTTTGCTTTATTGTGTGCTTCTCATTTAAAACAGTTGTACACCTTTTGATCACAGAACAACCTTTAATTTTTTTAAAATTTTTTTTAAAGATTTAAAAAAAAAAAAAAACTGGAATTTGACATATTTGGTTCATGTAGATTTAATAGAATTCCTATTACTATGAATGGATGCCCAGTGTCGTGTATGTGTGTATATGTGTTCGTTGGTATTCAGCTTATGGTCTGCTGGTTTTAAAGTGACTAGAAGTGATTCAAGAAAAACTTTACTTACATCATTAGATCACCTTCTGGCTATGTCTCCTGCATACTATTATGATAATTGCAATGTCTGACCAAAATTATTTTTAATTTGTCCAGTTTTAAATGAGGTGCCTATTGTGTCCTTATCTTGTGCTTTGTTGACAGATGTCAGTTCTTTGTTTTAAAGAATACCCTTCTGCCCACATGTTGCAAATGTCAATTTTTCACATATATATATTTCAAGTAGAGATTGTAGCTGTATTAGTCCAGTGATGTAGAGGTGAAAAACGGATTAAACTCGTATTTTTATTTTTTATTTTTACAAGCTTTTGGGAGAACCTCTCTCATGTCTGAAGCATTTCTGAGCAAGACACAGAATTCCAAGTTCAGTTGAGATAAAGGGGTTAAAGCGACATGAGTGCAGATAAGACACAGGTTTGATGGAAAATAGACCACATTCTTACAGAGGGTCGTAAATATCTTTCTAAAGATCTGAAAGATGAAGATGACTGTGCATTTGTTTGTATATGAGTTCATGTGTGTATGTGTTTGCGTATATAGATTTATATTTGTGTGTGTGTGTATATGTATACATAAGATCTCGAAAAAGGCCCTATTGGGGTTGAAATGTCGATCGGATTTTTTTTCTGCACATGTAATTTGCACCAGTGAATAAACAAAACTTCTAATCAAGACCTGTGAGTGCTCCTTGCATATATTGTTGTGGTTTATATATAACGCTGAGGTTTGCACTCAGGCAAGAATACCTTTTTTGTTTGTAATAGGGTGAGTGCCAAGATTACTCTTTCTCGCTTTCTCTCTTTTTTTTTATATATATATATATATATATATATATATATACACACACACACGTCACTCTTCCCTCAGTTAGTATTATATGCTATAACCAGGGTCCAAGGCCCTCCACCTCTGTTCCTGTACGTCGAGTTGTCTGGTTATAGTTAAATGTCTGTTAGTCCACCCTTTGTACAGCGGAATCTGATGGTGCTATATAAATAATAAAATATGTACACCTAGATTTAAGATTTTTTTTTTTTTTTACTTTATTGTGCAAAATGTTCAAAAAGATCGACGTTTCGACCTCAAAAAGGTCTTTCTCAAGATCAGAAGCGTTTTGATCTTGAGAAGGACCTTTTTAGATGTTGAAATGTCGATCTTTTTGAACATTTTTTTGCATAATAAAGTTACAAAAAAAATCTAAATCTAGGTGTATACATTTATTTTTGTGTAATTTTTTTTTTTTTTTTTTAATTTTTTGAAGCTGCATGCTTAGTGAGCTGTCTGGGAGGGAGGGTCTGCTGCTGATTGGCTGGAATGTGTCAGTTGACTGGAGTCCGCGCGAACCGTTCGGCACATCACTAGTGGTTACACATAAAAATGTATATATAAATTAGGCTTTTGGTTGCAGGTTTCTTCCTTTTGGAAACCACCTAAAACCAAATTCAGATCATACATTTCCAGGAAATGACAAGTGTAGAATGTTATTTAAATTGGTCTACACCACACAACACATTAGTTCTAGATCCCATATTTTAAAAAAATAAACAATTTTGGTTACAAAAAGCTTGCAAGAACAACCTCCAGTTACATTGTATTTCAAAATGTATACGCCAGACACTTTCTGATAGAAAAGAAAGACATATCATTTTACCTGGTTTTGGATGTCAAGAGTCAACTGTATAAATATCAAAAATTGTGGATGAAGCCAAGGTTGGCAGTAACTCACATTCTTCAAGAAAAGGGATTCATGCTAATTTAAAATCGTAAATACGTCAATCTGCATGGACCAATCTGTTATGGAGAAAATGTCTGTTGTGCAACAGTATTGGAATCTAAGAACTGCCATTCGCTAGCACACTTAAGAAAGCAAGGAGTTGTTTTGCAACTATGGATAACTGGTACCTAAAGACAAGACTTGTAATGTAACTAATCAAAAATATACAGTTAACTCTATGCCTGTTACAGGACCACACATGGATTGGAAATCCCATATTGCTGTAGTTGCAGTTTTGGGTGTGGATATAGATTCGGTCTAGCAAATACACAACTTTTCTCCCACAAAAAAAGGAAAAATATAAAAAAAAGTTTCAGTTACAAAGAAAACCAAATTTCTCTAAGGCCCATGGGAAAGTCATCATGAGGCAACTTCAATCTTTTATATTTTTCATGTGTGAAACAAACAAGAAGATATAGACTCAAAACCGTAATTGCACAAGACTGCAATTACTAAATTGGTGGATAACCTCAATGTATAAAGGAAGGCATTTCTTCAGACAAATTTCAAAAAGTGTTGATGGCGTGACAGGCTTTCAAAACACAGATTCAGGACAAAGCGGTTCAGATCTGATTCAAAAATATTTAAAATGTCCCATCTGCCAACAAACAAGAGTAAAAACCCTTTATCAGCGGTCTCCACTAATTACTGCAACAGAATAGACCCCTCTAGCCAGCAATCTCAGCAGGAACAGATTGAGACAGCCAGTGAGATCAGAGTCTGGAAACCTTGAATCAGTTCATGAGTTTGTTTAGAATGTCAAATATAGATGTCTGGCTACAAAAAACAAACGTATGCCGGTGTGCTTCTCTATACCAGACCACTATTCATTATGGGCTATCAACAAATTAGTATTTTTCCATTCCCAGCCCTTGATCATTTTTGGTTGCATTATTTAGCATCAAACACTGATAAGAAGTTATAAAAATTTGAACACACCAAGGATTTCCCACACAATTAAGAAATGACCCTTGGGGCTACTAAAAAAGCTTGGACATATACCCTATTTGCAATACCTTGGGTTGTCTACTTTTTGCAAATGATATGCCATCATGGGGGTAATTCTCATTCCTGGGCTACCATACGGTCTCAAAGGCAACATAACCAAGCTGGTGAATTTCATTGTGAAAAAACGGAGCCTTATATTTGACTCTCTAACTTTTGAAAACACCATAAAATTTGTAATGAGGGGTACTGTTATACTCAGGATACTATGCTGAACACAAATATTAGTGTCAAAACCGTAAAATGTATCACCACAATTATATCGTCCTTGCAAGTACTGTTTGTGTGTGGAAAAATTAAAAAAACTGCATTTTTACTGATCTTGTTGTAATACAATCTGTTTTAAATAACTAATATTTGTGTTCAGCGAAGTCTGCCGAGTAAAACAGAACCCCCCTGTACAGGTTTTATGGTGTCTTGGAAAGTTACAGGGTTAAATATAGTGCTAGCAAATGAAATTCTCTGGACAGGCAGGTCCCGCAAATTGTAATTAATAAAATTAATTATGTAAAAAATATTATACATACATATATACGTAGAAGTAAAATATATATAATTTTTTACATTATTTATATAAAGTGAAATATGTACAAATATTTGTGTATGTATGTGTGTATGTATGTGTAATATGTGTGTGTGTGTGTGTGTGTATATATATATATATATATATATATATATATATATATATATATATATAAATTTCGTTCTAAGTGTATTTTGATATTTATATAGTATATATTTACGTTTTGCAAGGAAGGTCCCCCCCCTCCTCCCATAGCCAGGGATCTATTAGGCAGTAAGTGAACAGTCAGTTCTTGTACTTCATGTGTTTGTCAAGTGGAAAGATCTGAGTGCCTTTAACAAGGGCAAAATACTGAGTCAGCTGGCCCAGAGCATCTCCAAAATGGCAAGTCTTGTAGGATGTCCCATCTACTAAAAAATGGGACAAAGAAAGGCAACTGGTTAACCGAAGTTAAGGATGGCCAAGGATCCTTTGATGCACCTAGTGAGCGAATGCTAGCTTTTCTGATCACACAAACTGTAGAGTTACTGTAGCTGGAATTGCTGAAAAACTAAATGCTGACCTTGATAGAAAGTTGTCAACACACAGTGCATCTCTGTTTTGCTGCATAACTGCAGACCGTTTACAGTGCTCATGATCTATGTCCACTGACAAAAGTGCGTTCAATGGGGATGTGATCATCAGAACTGGACTGTGGAGCAATGGCAGAAGGTTACTTGGTCTGATGAATCACATTTTCTTTTAGATTAGAGGGATGACAAGGTACGTGTGCGTCACTTATCTGGGCAGCAGGAAGCACTAATGGAAGAAGGCAGGCCAGCAGAGGCAGCGCTATACTTTGGGTAATGTTCTGCTTGGAAACTTTGTATCCTGACATTCATGTGGATGTTATTTGGACATGTACCACCTACCAAGAAATTGTTGCAGACAATGTACACCCTGTCATAACAATGGTGTTCCATGATGCAGTGACCTCTTTCAGCAGGCTAATGTACCCTGACACAGTGCAGAGATTGATCAGGAATATTTTGAGGAACATGACAAAGAGTTGAAGTTGTTGCCTTGGCCTCCAAATTTCCCAGATCTCAATCTGATTGAGCATTTGTGGAATTTGCTGGAACAACAAATCCGATCCTTGGAGGCCCCACCTCGCCACTTGCAGGACTCAAAGGATCTGCTGTTAATGTCCTGGTGCCAGATGCAACATCTTATGGGCAAAGTCATGGTAATGTGACAACATATAACTATACAATATATGTAAATTGACGTAATCATGGTTTCCTTGCCTGTTATTTCTTTATTCGATATATAACTTTTTCTGTGCAACCAAAACTTGTTTTGTTAAGGACTCCCTTTCAGAAATAAAAGGGAATCATGATGGAATATTACAGTCATGTGTCCTTAAGGGGTTAATTTGCTATCGATGCATGCTGAAATTGTTTTGATTTTCGCACAGTGCTTGGTAGTTAAGGGGTTAAAGATAAAATAAGCCACACATGTCTCCCATGCAATAAGATACAAAGCTGGAGAAATATGCAACATTAAAGAGCTTATTTGGACACTGAGTGCAAAAAATACATGGTCATGTAGAGCCAAATCACGATGAAATGATAAATTGAAACACCAAGCATAAACTATGCTCCATATTTCTTTGTGGTGCATATAACTTGATTTAAGAATTGGGGGGGGATTGGGAGGAGAGAAGGTGAGAGAAATTGTCTGGGGCAATGTGCATGGTAGAAGTTCTAGTTGTCAAAAGCCAGTGGGTTCAGATGGACTTATAAACATGAAGTTTGTCTATAGCCTCATACTGCAACTCCTCAAAAGCACAAAGCTCTGACATCTGAGCAAATAAAGTCCACATTGCAGGGTCAACTGGCTTTTTTTTTTTTTTTAAACTGGGGTAATTTGTTTATCTAATTAATAAACAGACCGCACCCACAACAACCTCGGTTCGCAAGGGGTACGCAAACCCTCGCTCCTCTCCCTTAAGAGGACATATCCGCCATAGCCAGACCGAATCACCCCCACACAGTTTAACAGTTATCACTCTGTGTTCCCTTGGTTAAATCTTTATTTTGTTTGTGTCTAATCTGTGTACACTCATATTATAGCATTGATGATCCAAGTGAAACGTTTAATCCCTAGGCCGACATAGAAATTACTTTCACTATTTCTACATTTGATATAAAATGTGCAACGATATTCAAGCCATTTTGTTTTTATATGTTTACAGAAACTCTGACAACTGCTGTTGTGGCAATGTGAGACGAGTAGTAAAGTATTATCCATGCACACAAAAATAAAGTATTTCAAAACAAATAGACTGTAATTAATATAAAATGAATATAAAGACATTGGTGCAGTATCATTTGGCTTAAAAGGCAAAAGGGTATCCAAAAACATCTTGATCATATTATCTACTTTACATCAGAAATGTTTCACTAGGGGGCAATCCCACCAACTCTATTATGTATTAGTGTGCCTGCTGATTATGCACAATGCCAACATATTTTTAATGGAAATTGAATAAGTTAGTTCAGTTTTATTTTCATTTTTTTTAATTGCGATTGTGTCATGGTAAGGGTTTTACCAATGAACATCTCCCAATGGCCCATGAAGGGTGGTGAGGCGTTGGAATGTAAGCAAGGAATACAGATAAGAGATGCCATGTTCTGTGGGGATAGGGTCCATACATGTTTGTTTAAATATAGTTACGTCTCTTATCAGCCAGGATTGTTGTAAGATTGCATGCAACTGTTGATAACGTAAAATTTGAAAGTAGGGCATACGTGCCCCTACGACCATTGACTCCATGGGGTTTCATCCTAATAAAAGAAAATAAAGTTGAATACATGGAATTGGTTGCCTGACTGGCAGATTCCATTCGGTTCAGTACCTGTTTGAAACTCTGCATTATGTATCTGGGAGAGTAGTTGTGAGAGAAATAATGACTGTTTTGTGACATTACCGTGCAATAACTGAAGTGTGGCCTGTACGAGCCCCCAATTTCCCATACCTGTGGTTGGTGGGATCCATAGAGAATAGACAGCGGCTTCCTCACTGCCGACTCATCAGGGAGGGCGAGTCCTCTGTCCTTCATTGGCAGGGTCAGCTGGCAAAACTTCTGATGTCTCTTCCGTCGCCAGAAAAATCCCAGCCTTTAGATCCTCATTTAGAACCTTCCATTTACTATAACTGATTTTTAAATTTGATAGTTAACTGTATTCTGTATATGCTGTCATGATTTGTAAGAGGGAGGTTTCAGGGTTTGTGATAAAACTCATTAGGTCTTCAGCATAAGCTGCTGTCTTATGCTTAACATCTACTGTCTCCACTCCCTGTTTATCCGGGTTCAATTGTACAGCTTCTGCAAAGGGTTAAAAAGCAAGGATGAAGGAGCAACCATGGCATATAGCATTCCAAATTGCAAATGGGCCCGTAAAGGCACACAGATTCTCATTGTTGTGTGCCAAGACAGAACTTTTATCCTGTTAGAACTGTCTGTTGGTAATAAAGTTGAACGGAGCAAGACTTAAGAACTTAACTGTGCTTTAACCCCTTCCAGACCATAGATGGAAATTTTCCATCAAGTTTGTCCTGGCATTAAGGACCTTTGACGGAAAATTTCAATCATTTAATAAGGTTAACCCCAGCTCGCCGCAATCGTGGAGTTAATGCTCATCCAGGAGCACCCGATCACGCTGTCCTTACAGCAGAGATTGCTCTGACAGGCTGTCAGAGCGAGCACATGTGCTGCAGGGACTCACAATCTGCCTACCTGCTTTTCCGTGTTCAGTGGGAAGTGCAGGAGATGGATCAGTGATGATCATAGTCACCCTGTGTAAAAAATAAAGTTAAATCCCACCCCTGCTTTAATAAAATTAACCCCTTCCATGCCAAATGATCACTGACTACAGTGATCAATTGGCAGGGACTACATTTTACTGTCATCTGATTGATTTATTTTTAAACCCCTGAGGGTTACATTTTTTTTTTTTAACCCTCAGAGGTTAAATTTATTTTATTAATTAATTTAAATATTTAAGTTATATATTTAGTTAGCTGGGAGGGTGGAAGTTAGTGGGGAATTTGGTGTTAGGCTAGCTAGGAGCTAACTTAAGTGTTTTTTTTTTTTATTTTAATTTTAAAAAGTTTAAAAAATCCCACCCCCCCTTTTACCCAGTCCGAATAAAAATTAACCCCTTCCCTCCCAGATGATCACTGCCTACAGTGATCAAAATACAGATCCCAGTATTATACTGTGATCTAACTTTTTTTTTTTACTCCTGCGGGTTATTTATTTTTTAACCCACAGGGGTTTAATTTAATTAATTTAACCCCTTAAGGACGGAGCCAAATGTACACGTTGTGAACAAAACAAAATGTAAACAAAACCTGGCATTTGCGCTACATGTCTGTCCAACCGTAATTCACCTCTTTCATAGTAAATGCACCCACCCTTATTATATATCATTTTATTCAGGGGAAACAGGGCTTTCATTTAATATCAAATATTTAGCTATGAAACATAATTTAATATGAAAAAAATGGGAGAAAATACGATTTTATTGGATTTTTTTAGTTCTACATGACATTTTAACGGTCAGTGTCATAATACTGTTTGCTTTTACTGCAATAAAATACACATATTTGTATTCAGCAAAGTCTCACGTGTAAAACAGTACCCCCTATGTACAGGTTTTATGGCGTTTTGGGAAGTTACAGGGTCAAATATAGCACGTTACATTTGAAATTGAAATTCGCCAGATTGGTTACGTTGCCTTTGAGACTGTATAGTAGCCCAGGAATGAAATTTACACCCATAATGGCATACCATTTGCAATAGTAGACAACCCAAGGTATTGCAAATGGGGTATGTCCAGTCTTTTTTAGTAGCCATTTGGTCACAAACACTGGCCAAAGTTAGCGTTAGTATTTGTTTGTGTGTGAAAAATGCAAAAAACGCCAATTTTGGCCAGTGTTTGTGACTAAGTGGCTACTAAAAAAGACTGGACATACCCCGTTTGCAATACCTTGGGTTGTCTACTATTGCAAATGGTATGCCATCATAGGGGTAATTTTCATTCTTGGGCTACCATAGGGTCTCAAAGGCAACGTAACCAATCTGGCGAATTTTAATGTGAAAAAAATGAAACGCAAGCCTTATATTTGACGCTGTAACTTTTGAAAACACCATAAAACCTGTACATGAGGGGTACTGTTGTACTCGGGAGACTTCGCTGAACACAAATATTTGTGTTTCAAAACAGTAAAAAGTATCACAGCAATAATATCGTCCGTGTAAGTGCTGTTTGTGCGTGAAAAATGCAAAAAACGTCACTTTTACTGGCGATATCATCGTTGTAATACATTTTACTGTTTTGAAACACTAATATTTGTGTTCAGCGAAGTCTCCCGAGTAGAACAGTACCCCCCATGTACAGGTTTTATGGTGTCTCGGAAAGTTATAGGGTTAAATATAGTGCTTTCAAATTAAATTCCCTTTACTTTCGGCATGGGTTGTCATGCAGGTCCTGCTAATTGTAATTAATTAAGATACCTAATTATGTAAAAATATTACATAAATATATGTAGAATCAATATATGTATATATATACGTATGTGTATATATATGTATATATCTATATAATTTTTTTTAAATATATTTATTTATATATAGGTATATATATAGTGATATATACGTATATATTTATGTGTATAAATATATATATTATTTCGTTCTATGTGTATTTTGATATATATATATTAATTTCACAATACAGTTAGAACGAAATAACACACATCTATATATTTTTTAATTATTTATTTTTAATTATTTTTGTAATTTTATTTTTTAACGTATTTACATTTTAATTTTTTTATAATATATATAAATATATATATAACAATAATTATATATATATTTAATCAGTATCAGTGTACGTGTAATTTGATATTAATATATATATATATAATTATATATATATTAATAGTAAAATACACCTAGACGGTGTACATGTGTGTATGTATATGTGTATATATATACTTTGATCATATATATATAATATATATATATGATCTAAGTATATATTATTTATTTTTTTACACTATTTATTTATTTCATTTTTATTTTCAGCCAGCAGGGGGACCACCTGTCATTACAGGCAGCCCCCCTGCCGGCAATACAGAAGCCAGCTATCCCCGGCCATGTGATTGTGGGGTCCTCGCTAGGACCCCACTCTCACACGGCCGGGGGCTTCCTGGAGGACGGTCGTGCCGCGGGGGGCTCCCTGGGAGTCCCCCCCACCGCGATCGCCGGCGTGGGACCGCCGGCGACCGGGTAAGTACAGAAAGACCGGAGGGCGTACTATTACGCCCGGCGGCGTTTAGAGCCGCCTATTAGAGGACGTAATAGTACGCCCTCCGGTCTTAAGGGGTTAAATATTTTAAAATTCTATATTTTGCTAGCTGGTGTGGGTGGGAGTTATGGGAAAGTGGGGAATTTACTGTTAGTGCTGCTTACTGACAGCTGTTAACGGTAAAAAAAAAAGTTTATAAAAAATTAAGTGTAAAAAAGTTAAGAAACTTAAAAATGTAATAAATAAAAAAAAAAAAAAGTTTTAACAAGTAGTAAAAGTTTTAAAAAGTAAAAAAATGCTCGTTACCACTACATCTGGAGCATAATAGCGAAAAAATTATCCTACGCTAAGGTGAATTACCCTGGGATGTATTCTTTAATAAATAGTATGTGCCAGCTAAACTACTCCAAAATGGAACATGGACACAGCGTAAAACTTCAAAGTTAGAAAAAAACTGGCTCAATCTCAAATGTGCCCCTTCGGGGGTACTGCTGTACTCAGATGACATAGCTGAGCAACATCTGAAGTATTAT